CACTTTCCTCGATATTAATAAGGCTATTATTACAACGACGGCTTTCATAAACTGCATATTCAGAGACTGAAGTAGCGCTGCAAATGGACCTGTCGTGGCCAATAAAATACGCCGTTTATACGAAGTCGCGAGATTCCTGTCACACACGCTCGCCTGTGCTCCCGCGTTAATTATAGAGATCTTTTTTTCTATTCAACAACGCAACTTAAGTCGCTCGATTATCTTAACTTAGCCCTTTGCACTCAAACGTCGACTTACAGAAATTGCGCAGCCGTATGACACAAGATATGTGTAATATTACCGAGCAAACTCTGTGTCGTGTATTGTGCATTTAATCTTCAATTGTTGTGCATATCTTGGAGAATCAATAAATTGATTTATGCTACTTTTGTAATGCCTGCATAATAAAACAATGGTCACAAAAATTGCACCAACAATTGCGCGATCTTGCACACGTTTATTACTTGATCGTGTAGAACATTTCTCGACTTAATTGCCCGATGTACTGAAATGATTACCGATCTAATGGCATGCCAGTTATTTTTAATAGAGATAAACTAACTCGTAAATTATATTATGGGTATACTATAATATCATGTTCGTTCTAAGATTATAATGCACATTCGAGGTATTCGAGAAATACGAGAAATTAATAAACTCTCAATCGAAACAGAATTGTTCAATTTTAGATTGCAGCACATCTTCAAGAATGTTTACACGCGCTATTTTACAGATTATATGTATATACATCGCGTCGTTTTAGCCGCAAATCTAAACAAATTTCTTCTAGAACAAGTAGAATACCTTATGATTATGTCTTTCATCGTCCGCATAACGCGAATACGTGTGTGACAGTATAAAAGTATGCTTTCGAAATACATAAATATCACGTTTGCCTAGCTCGCTTTTCCTCTTTCTCTCTCCCTCTTTCTTTCTCTCTTGCTCTCCCGTCATCTCTTTCATTCATTCTCTTATGTTCTATTATATGTATATACTTAAAGCGCACTTTAAGCGACCTACAGCTTGTGACAGAATTCAGGACAAAACATTTTATGCCGTGCAATACAAAAAATATGAAGATATATACGTTATAAGGAATACATATCGGAATACACGGCACTTAAATGCAAAATATGACAGAGAATCGTGTCTCAAACTTTGTCACGTATTAAGATCGCCTGAAGTAGGCTTAATATAATGTATTGATAAAGATTTCCATTTATATGTACCTATACATAATCATATGTATATATACCTCTCTTTAACATGTAATATTGTACATCATGCGTATTTACGATATATACGGGTTATCTACAGATATTATACAAAAAACGCGGGGCATTTTCTTCGCTCTCAAACGATAATGAACTATTATTTATCGACGTTCAGCTTACGAAGCACACGCGCGTTTCGTATACTTCCTGTGAATGCACACGAGTGTCCGTGTGTGCCCATGACGGACACTGGGGATGCGTAAAATGCGTGGATTACACGGCCACGCGGAGTGCTCGAATATAATATATATATATATATATATATTTATACGTGCCCTCTCTCTCGCGCGATGCGTACTCATTAATTTATATTTATTTTCACGTATAGTATCACAAGTTTTGCCGACACCGCTCTCACTTTTTCGCTGGCACTGCTTGTCGAAGCATTACGCCGCAACGTCTCTTACTGCAGCAACGCGTCCTTTTCAAAGGGGGTGCGCCTATAATATTAGTCAAGGATTTTCAAGTACCGATCGGTTCATCGCCGCGAGGCTCATGCAATCGTAATAAGCATCGTATGTGGTGAATTGCTTGCAATTTTTTATTACCCTTAGGCGGTTCTCTTAATGATAGTATGAGTGTTGGGTGTATCAAAAGCCCACATCTTTTACTTCGTTGGAACTAAGTTTGCAAGAAAAAGAATCATTATTTATACACGACATTATTACTTTATTATTCTCTTGTGATTGTATTTCATGTAATTTGGTAGTTCGATTGCGAAATCGAAGAAAGAAAAATATATGAGACAGATTTAATTTAAAATATTGAGGAGTGTCAATATCGACATGTGAGTCAGAGATTTTCACGAGAAATTAAATCGATCTTTGCGTTCTTTACAAAAAAAAATTACTAAACAATAAGTGCATAAAAATCAAAATTAATGATTGATAATAATTAATGATTGATTTAAGAGAGACATCATCACATCGACATAAATAATTCCGATGAAATCTTCGCTATAACACACGTTACATTAATTCGTTTTGAAATCGATATTATGTCGTCATTACGGTCTTGTTCAACAAATTTGTAAAATTGTCAATTAAGGCAATATCGTATAGTTGAGGAATTGTTGATAATGATTATCGGCGATTACACGACTCAATGAGGTATAAAATCTTTTTGCCTTTCATGATAAAGGGAAGAAAACGACAGCTAATAACGAGAAGTCAACGCTGTTTGCAATCTGCCGAGTTGCATTACCTAATAACTATATGAACGATGAAAATAGATAATTTGCAAACATAGAGAAAACGTATTTAATTCGGATATTAGTCTTTACATAATAATGATATACCGTAAATTAATTGATTATATTATATTAATTAAAATATTCCTGGTTTGTTTTCTTCGCTTCTTTGCTTGTTTTTTTTCCGTTTCACATTTTCTTATCTTCCATATATAAAATCTCGCTTTTTTAATAGGTATATCTATTATATTAAGAGTTACATATAATCTCATTGGAAAAACTGATTTTGTATATAAACAATTCTATTTATAATGAAATTATTTATATATGAGCAACACAAAAAAGCGATCATGAGAAGAAAAACAAAACAATTTTGGATTTCGTATAAGTGTTTCGTATAAATAATTGAATAAAATCATATTGATGGATAAAAATCAAGATCTAAAATCATGAAGAATCGATATTAAATTTTACTTAATACAATTGTATAAAATGTATTCTTTGGTTTTTTTTCGTGCGTTTCTTTCTAGTCTTTTCTTTTTATTAATTTTGTTAAACAAAACGAGTTGTAAATTCCACTCAAAGGTGACGATCGTAAATACTCAAGTATGTGCCGGATTATTACGTAATCTCTCGATGTGCAAGAAATAGAGCGTACTGACGAGATGCACTGTGTCTAATTGGTTAAGAGTATGTCGATGTTACTCGAACGTATCATAAAAAACTCTCACGCAGATCACTCGCACGATGATATCAAATTGCTCGGCTCTGATAAACTCGGGAATACGGAATGCAGGATGATTCAGTACCCTCGGTCATTCAAATACTTCTTCCGAATACCTATCCCCGATACAGAGCAGATAAATTCAATGAGTGAGTTATGATGAAATAAAGATAACATTAAGATAAGTTATAATCAAACACACATTCGAAATTGATGAAAAACGTAGCCATGTTAAATTATCCCACAAAACACATTCGTAAGTGTGTAGGACATTCTAGTAACAAAGAAATAAAATTCCATTCACAATTTTAGACGCCACATATTTCGACTCTCAAACGTTTTCGATATATTGTACGCCAATAAATTATGAATAGAACTCTATCACACGAATTAAAGATGTCGTCTAAAGTGGGTTTTAATCTCCTCTATCACGATTGTTGTTTGCAATTGTACTTGAAACGATGCTTACGAAGTCATTGTCAGTTTAAGTGACAACACACAGTAACGGACATAGGTTTAAGCAAGTGTAACAGATCGTACGCATGTAAATATTATTTCCCTATCTGTTTTCTCCTTCTTGTTTTCTCGACATAATACATGTGTATACGTGACCTCCTTGAAGTTTTCGACATATTTAAGAATGTGAATATTCTACAAATTTATTTGAACTCGCGCGAGCGGGGATCCATTTTTATTCTCTTTTATTATCAAATATTCCGGAAGCGGCTTCGTAGAAAGTGCAATAAACGATCAATTTGAAGTATAATAAATTTTATGCATAACTTTAGTCATTGACAATATGAATATATATAAATATAAACTTATATATAAAATGCAAATACGAAATATATATAAAAATTTACTTCCTCGCGCACTGCATATTTATGTAAAAAAAAATTAATTTTCATGTAACCTATATTCATCGGTTATTGTGTAACGTAAAGAATATATTGTGATTCTGTCTTTCTACTAGTCATGTAAATTGATTTTTTTTTTATTCTATTTCATTTTATTTAAGCTTTTGTTACCGCTAATATAATTCGATACGGAAATTTATTAGCGAATTGTTACAAATTTACAATAAGCGAAGCATCGCAAATGATCGATTTAAATGAAAGAATAGATTTAAAGAGAAAGAGGGTAGAACATAAATAGTAGACTCTATAGATATGAGATAAGCATTCTTTATGAAAAGAATAATAATTTAGAAAATATTTTCACAGATTCTCCTTGAACAAACAACTTGCATAATGCGTGTGAATATATCGAAGTAATAAAATAACAATCGCCCTCTATTGCATATACTTTACATGTAATAAAGACATGTAACACTCGTAATTTTAATAAGAATAATCTCTAGAATAGTCGACCCAACGTTACGCAGTAACCGTAACATAAAGTCAATCCTCGTGACGATGAACCGTAATTCTCAGTGAAATTGACTCATACCCCGAAGCCTACCTCTCTCTCGGCAAGTTTACCGTCTGTAGACGATATTCTCGTCTTCCTCGTCCTCGTTCTCGTCGTCGTACTCATCGTCGTCGTCGTCGGGTGGCCAACAGACAACGGCGTCGACGACATCATCGACGTCGGTGTTGTCGGTACGACGTGGTGCGCGTCGACGTGGCTGTGCTCGCGACGGTGACGTGAAGGTCGACGAGATCGCAGGCGATGGCGGCAACGGCGGCGGCGGCGGCGGCGGCGCCGCGTTCGTCGCGGACGCCGTGATCGCGGGCAGATCGGGTATCGGTGCGGCAGCAGCGGTCGCGACGTAAGCCGCGGCAGCAGCGACTCAGGCCAAAGCGTAGGGGTGGGTAGCGTGATGTCACAAGCCCGGTGCCGCGCTGGCGACAGCGGGTGGCGGTGGAGCGCTGGTGGTGGCCACGCTCGTCGCGTGATGATAAAGCGGGCTCTGATAATACTCCTGATGATGATGATTCGTCATGTGCATCGGCCCGGCGGCGTTCGTGCCGGCGTGCATGCCGTTGTGATGATGATGGCTGGGCGGCGCCGAGTGCGCGTGCGGATGATGCGGCGAGCCGAAGTTAGCGTAGCTCTGATGCAGCTGTTCGTACATCTTCATCTCGGGCGGTTTGGTGTCCTGGGCACCGGGTGAGGTGCCGGCGGTGTCGCGCGGCAATAACCTGTTGATGCTGAACGGATGATTGGCCGCCGTTCCGTAAAGCGGCTCCTGCTTCAGGCTGCCCGTCATGCCGTGGTGGAGGCTCGCGGTGTCGGACAACAGTTGCGGATGAATGCCGCGGCTGACCATCGCGGTGAGCTCGTCGTGAGCAGCGCTGAGATCGGGCCCGAGTAGACCGCCGATGTCCGTGTCGCTCTTGAGAGCGGTGTGATGCTGATGCAGACTCGTGTGATGATGGTGGTGCGAGGAGACCAACGAGTGCAAGTCTTTGTCGTCCTGCTGAGGGCCGCCGTGGTGGATGGACGAGCCGCCGGTCTTCTTGGTACCAGGCGCGACCTCGTGAGTGGATGGACTGTGCTGGCCGGCGATGGTCGCGCCAGCCGCCACCGCTACCGTAGCCACCGCCGACGCCTGATGTTGCTGATGCTGCTGATGTTTGTTACTCTGTCTGCTCAGCTCCTTCTTCTCGTCCTTGAACCTCTTTTGGCGTCGTAGGTAACAACCGTTCTCGAACATATTGCCGCTGTCGGGGTGTAGCGTCCAAAAGGATCCTTTGCCGGGTTTATCCGGCGTACGCGGCACCTTGACGAAGCAATCGTTAAAGCTCAAGGAATGCCTGATCGAGTTTTGCCAACGCTGCTGATTCTGTCTGTAAAACGGAAACAGATCCATGATGAACTGATAGATCTCCGAGAGAGTCAGCATCTTGTGAGGCGCGTTCTGTATCGCCATGGTGATGAGGCTGATGTAGGAATACGGCGGCTTCGCGTGAGTGTAACTACGTCGATAGGACTTATCGCTGCGGGCACGCTGGAGAGCTGAATTCGGCGAGTCCGGTTCGGTTAGCGCGAGCGGATCTCGGCTGACGCCGGTGCCTCCGCCGGGAGTAAGCGGACCGTATCCGACGGCGCTCATACAGGCACCGCCGGCGCCCATCGAAGCACCGCTGTAGCCGCTCATCCCGCCGCCTCCCATCGACGCCATTCCCATCGCCGAGCTCATGCTACTCATGTTAAAACCGCCGGCGCCCTGAGGGCTGCAGCTGGGCCCGACTCCGACTCCCATTGACATCCCCATCGGCACGCATCCCATTGAGTTTATCGAGCTGTACGTGGGCGCCATGCTGCCCATACTGGACATCGCGGCACTGGTCATGGCACCCGCATCGCCGTACAGCTTTTGCGACTGAAGCATGGTCATAGAGCTCACCGGTGCCGGGGTGGCCTGCTGTCGCGTCGTCGTTGTCAAACGGGAATCATGAAATCCGCGGTACCACGGCTGTTGGCAGTCGGGTATTCCCTTAATCTTTCCACCTGGATAAATCTCGGTCCGCGCGCGCGCGCGCGCTCAGCTGCTCGCTATCGCGAATCAAGGGGATTCTCTTCTTTTTATTTATCAGTCTTCGCTGTCGAGTCACACAAATCACGACTGCCTGAAGAATTCGCGTCCCCTCGCACTTAAAGAGAAGAAAGAACAACTTCACCAGAGAAATAAAAAGGAAGAGAACCTCACCAAAATAGAAATTTTTTTTCCTCGAAGCGCAGGAATGCACTGAACGGAACGCACTTGTGTGTCGACGGAACTTTCTTCTGTCACAACCTCTGGAGCGAAAAAACGCCTACCTTGTATACCTTTCTTATATATATACGCGAGAGAAGAAAAGTCACGAGCGTATCTTTATATCGAAACTCCGAAGAGCGACTAGTAGAGGTTGCAAGGGCAGCACTCTCTCCGGTGAACTTTATTCACCTCTCGTTCTTCTCCTCCCGGAACACAATGCACAGAGTCCGTTTATTCACGGGAAGATGCGCATTCGATGCACATTCGAATGCCGACGCGAGAGCGCGAAAGTGTGAATATACCCCCCGCGCGCGAGAGTCAGGGGTAATTGTTACCCCAACACCATGGAGGGCACGACGCGTACGGAAAGCCGCGACGACGGGAAAAGAGCCCAAAGCCAGGCTCTCGCTCGCGTGTTGTACGACGTGGACGAGTGCGCGAAACAACACCAACCGCACTATACGGTGACGGCCGCTCGTCGGTCGCGCGCGCGGTCGGTTATTTGATCGAGCGGGGCTGCTGTTTGAGCCGCCTCACCACCTCTCACCACACACTCCGCCTCGCGTACCGACGACGAGTCTCTCTCTCCTCTCTCTGTGTGCCGTGTTGTGGATGGTGGCCGGTTAGCGAGTGTACTCCGGTACTCTTGAGTCGGCGGCTCTTGTTCAAATATACCCCACCATCGGCCGGTGAGAGCCGCGCCCGACGCAGCCGGGCCGGCCAATCGCCGTGCAGCCGTATTTCCGCTCGTGTGTCGCCCGACCAATCTGACGGTGGCGTCGACGCGGCCGACAGTCCTCCCGCTCGCAGTATGAATCGCACGTCGTCGGATCGTGCGTGCCGCGCCACGGCCACTTCCCCTCCGACGCCGTACATGACGGCGTAGCGGAACGTGATACGCGCATGCACCATGGCCCGCGCGCGCGAGATCGATCATGGCTCGGCCGCTCCTCTATCCCATGTCATCATGTTGTCGTCGTCTGCCACGCGTTTGATAACTGCCACCTTCGTCCGTGCGTGCGTACGTGACGCGCCCTTACGCGTCTTCTCTTCTCGCGAACGATCTCTCTTGCGAACAATTTCCGGCGACGCGCATTCTCACTTCGTCCGATCAATCGTTACTCGCGTTTTGTATTCTTTTTCTCCTCCCGACTTTCCTGCCGAACCGCTATTATTTTACAAATAATGCATGAATTGGAGTAGAAACGTTGATCGCGCGCGCGGTTCATTTCGATATTGTTCCGTTAACTTACAAGTGAATCTACACGTGAACGAGGTGAACTATTCGAGGTAGTGTCCGCGAAGAAGACCGGCTGATCTGAGCCACGTGGGTTGCCATGGAATCATCATAATCGAAAGTTTGGAATACAACGTGGGTATAAGTGTATATACAGTGTGATATGTATATCGTAGTTTTTATCGTCGTAACTTAATCGTTTTATTTATTCTTATTTATTCGTCATTATACTTTTATATAATATTATAAACTTTATATCACCAGATTTATTATCGTATATTTTATTATAAGCTTCATGCATATCAAATAAAAATTATAAGACACTTTTATTTGAATGTATATATGTACTTACAAGAAAGAGAGAGAGAGAGAGATATGTTTTCAGAAGCTATATGAAGAACTTTGAATAATATTTGATCTTTCTTAATAACAATAATTAAACTTTCACATATAAATATTTGTATGCACTGACAATACAACCTTCGCATTAGGTATTATTGATTCACGTCAGTAATTGTTATGCATTTATTGGATGAAACGAGACTATACAAATTCTTAGTTTGCGTGTGAAATTTGTATTAAAATCTCTGATGCATCATTATTGATTTTTATCCACTTGTCTAATAATAATTAAATTTTTGTTTCTATTGTATATAAGTTTTGATAAGTGAGTCTCTGAGAATGAATAGATTACACATAAAATGAAATAATGACTTTCATTCCGTCAAAAAATTAAATGCATTACTCGTTATGATTGCGCTTTACTCACTCATTCATTATTTGACATTATAGTCAAATGTCTCTTTTGCATATATATAAAAGACACTCTTGTGAATAAATACGCTGTGATTTGAAATTTTCTAACTCTGCATTAATGTCGAGTGGACGTCTTTCAGTTCCTCTGTCATGTTTTGAAACTGCATTTATTATAGATAAAAAGTAGGTGTCCAAGTATTTTACAGAAAAGAGAAACAAACGGTTTGCGCTAAGCTATACCTGTCTGCCTACATTCTCCACCCACGATCTCATTTGAATTTTCATTGACGTCATCGTAATTTTCTTGGTCCTTTTACTTTGCGTAAATGCTATCGCGTGTCATTTACTGTCTACACACAAGTATCGTGGAGCACAAATATAGATAATTGAGTCTGACATCTATTTTTCTAATTTTCCGAAAATATCTGTCTTTCTCACAAGAACAAAGAATGCGTCAATGCTTTGTCTCGATCACGTTTTAACGCCATAAATAACTTACATGAATTTACTTAAGTAACTATAAACCTAGATAAGATAAACTTGTGACAGAAATATTAATCTAAAATAAATAACTTACATAGGTTTAAAATTTCTTTCTTATTGACAGAAAATTAAATTATTCTTCAATATTATATCTTCAAGAAATTATCGAATGACAATGAATTTTATTTTGATTGTGAAATTACTGTGAATATGTGTGTGTGATATTCTTTTGAATTCACATTGCAAACACATCAAATGTGTAAAAATTTTCTAAAACCTTTTTTAATCGATATAACCTCGGTATTAAAATTATACATATAATATTTGTGAATTACTATAATAACGAAGAAGATAAATAGTTTCAAATTAGAACAAGACTAAAAATTTATTGTATAACCATTGGCTACAAATTATTTAAATAATATTGAAGCAATGCAAAGTAATTTATTTATTAACAAAAATATTTATTATTCGAAGAAATAAAAATATTTTCTTTGAAATGCAACTGTAATGTATAAAAGTTAAAAAATTAACTTTCCAAAATTGTTTTCTTATGTCAAAGTTAGTGTTGTTTTCACGGTATTTAAGAAAAAAGATTGAAGACGCATTATGTATCATAAATTTCTATGACAAATAGATTCAATGAAATCATAATATTGTACAAAAGGTTTTATTTCTTTTCTTAAATATTTGTTTTAAAAGTTGTTTAAAAGTTTCGTGATAAATCTTGTTACTGTCGAACTTACATCCATTCTAACAAAGCGTCTAAAATAAGAATACTTATACCGAGATTTTATTCCTTTCTGAAAATATTTAGTCTAATCCAGATTTTATAAACGATTAAACTCGCTGTTAAACAAGGAAAAATTAATAAATATAATATTGTAAAATTGCAGTTATTATAATATTGAATAAATTGGAAATGATAGAAAATAATGAAAATACATATTATAACTATACCATACATCTTACAGATATATATTGGAGGGATCTTACAGATCCCTCCATTCCTTGTAAATAGACACAAAAACATCGAAAATTTATGTGGACTGCATCGTATTAAGAGCTGCTAGAAACATTTATGACAACGAATAGCTACGTCACTTTACTGATCGATCCCGTCGGCTTCCTCCGACATGGCGCCCATCAGCCGACGGGGAGTAACCGTCGAGACAGCACGCAACGGCTGCACTAGATAACGTGTGCATGTTTTTTTTAACTGCCGTCATTTCTATAGTTATATATAATAGTTATAATTAAAATTGCATGAACACACACTAGGAATGATTTCGGCACGTTACAATTAATTAACCCGCTTACTGCGTATAACATTACGAAAGAAAAGTCTGAAATAAGGATGAGAAAGAGAATGCAGATATATAAATTATTTCGTCTTTTTATTTACGAGAAAGTGCAATAGAGCAGAATTTTATGGAATCAATTATGCTCTCCTCCAAGTAGTCTTAAAGGTTATCTTACTGTACTGTTCGGGAACCAGGTCTCTTTTATGTTTTGTGATCGTATAATATCTGATCGTATATACCTTATACCTGATTTTTTGTGAGTGAACCCGTTATATTGAAGACAAAGAGTTACCGACAAAAAGTTTGCCGACAATATGTTCGTTGAAACCATTTCGTTGACACCAAATTTCAGCAGTGAACTATATGTTCACGAACGTCAGCATTCATCGACGAGTGCATTCTTTTACCTGCAGAAATTTTCGGTCAATGGAAACAAAACTCTTGCAAAATGGGTGAATTCTGTCCTTACAAAGAGGACGAATTAATTGTGAACTTAATCGAATATGCAACGAAGATAAAAAGTAGTATAAGTACGAAATAATTATACTTGTGCTTTTTGAATGGAAATATTTGAGAGATATTATCTGTAGAAGATGTGCTTTGTTAACGGTACACAAAAGTTAGTAAATGTATATGTGGGTCAATGTTTATATCAGTGAATGTACATACTACTGGCTAGACACGGTCTCGACGAGATAATGTCAATGAAAGCATTGTTGGCGAAATCTTTATCGATGATCTCAATGTAAACTCCTCGTTTAGCTATTTTTCCGTATTAACATACATATATAATGTTTCTTTCAAGTATTTATTTTTTAATACAATTATTATAGAAACAAACAAAGAATTTCCTAGAAATG